GACACAACCAGCGGGCAGCACATTGAGTGTAAGGTGGTACCTTTCTCACAGATCACTAGGAAAATAGAGCTCCATCATGAAAACAGGGCTTCACCTCCACTTGTGACAGTTGCCATAACACTGAGAGCACAACACAGACGAGATGACTCACTGCAGGACACGCCGGGCAACTTTTCAGGGCGTGTGCCTGGGACTGGGCTACAGGGCTGAAGCCCCGGTTATTTTTTTCTAAAACCCCAAACATTTTGAGTGGTGGGACCAGTGTGACCGTGGCATAAGGCAGCATTGCTATCACATACTTTCAAAGAGTTCATCCGGTCCTTGGTAATCCTCTGGCCCCTCCCCCCACCCCTTTCCATACTTCGGCAGGGCTACTCTTCTGCTGTCTCATTTTGATTCTTACTGAATGCACACACACACACACACACACACACACACACACCAACTATGCTCCCTTGATCCAGATTTTTCTAATACTTATTAGGACATGAGAGGTAAAACTTTTGTTGACATTATACTTAACCTGGTTAATCTAAGTACCGAGTTATTTAACTATGCTGCAGTTAATCCATAAGAAGGGAAGGGCCCCTTTATCTCGGGGGGGAGAGAGAAGGCTGGCAGAACCAAAATTTGTGCAAAGCAGCACATCGTATGAGCACAACCCTTAGCAACTGTGCTGTGATGTGTGATCATTTGCTATCAGGTGGATCAACCTACGGAGCCAACTTTTTACCATGTTTCACCACAATGGGCACTAAACTAATGTAATAGAACAGATGGACAGAATTGTATGCATTTAAATCTTGAACTCTGACTCATATACATGGTTGTGGGCTTAAGCCCCGACTTTCCTTTACCCTAGAAGCGTCCCAGGTGCCTAGTGCAGGATTTAGCACAACGTGCTAATGTGTATCGCTAATGTGTCACCAGGCAGTGTGCAGTGAGGGAGCTGATTAGCAGGTGAAAGAGCGGGAGCATGAATCACTAGGATGAAAATGTTTGCTAAGCAAATAATCTATAGTCACCACAGAATAATAGCAAGGGCTTACAGTTAAACCACTCAGGCACAGTCAGGTTTTATCGTCTACTCTGACGCACAATAGAAGATACAATGAGCCATGGGACCCCTGTGATGGGACCCCTGCACAGAAGCAACAGCCCATTTCCAAGCCCATTTTCCACCTTCTGGTCTAATTATGACGCACGGAAAATCTGCAGATTCATCTTACAGATGCAGGTTCAGGCACCGCCCTGGCCCTGAAATTAGGTAACACTACGGCCCAGGCTGCTCTCATGCTCTTTGGGAGGGATTGATGACACTCAGCAGGAGTTTGGGAATGAGAAGAGATTAACAGCCCGGTCCATGATAGAATCACAGGCAATGCAGGACCACTCAAACCCTCTGGAGGAACTGACTCTCCATTATTATTGTACTCAAATGAGCAGTAATTGATAAACAGTATGGTCTGCAGTATCATGCCCACATTCATGTTCAGTGGATCTCTGATACTGGGAGAAGCAATATAATTTGGGTCTGGTGGTCTAAAGGAATTAGCCTAATATATTGGACAAATATATGAGTAAAAATTCAGGCATATTTGTTCATTTCTTGACTCGGCTGGTTGCTCCATTTGTTAATAGTGCCTCTGGGTGTTTCCTTGTCTCAGTTAGAGATCCTAAAAACTTGGGAAGGCGTCCTACTTGCTAGCTTACTGCAGGTTTACCAGCTATGTTGCCCTGGAGCACCGTCCTGTTTATCCTGCTCCCTAGCACTGCAGAGAATACCTGGAAAACATCAGCCTGATCTCCACCGTTCGGATAGCAGGTGGGCGAGAAGAAGATTACAGGCTGCCAGAGACGCAAAGCCTGTGGGTGGAGCGTGAGGTTAACCTGCTCTCATAAAATGCAGTGACTTTCCCTCACCCCACCGCCCCCCCCCCCCCCCTTCCTTATACCATCCTAGCCCCAAGGAACAGGTGTGCAACCACACCCACAGTGCAGAGAGAAGGGTCTCCTGGCTGGGAAAGTGTGTCAGTAAGCATGTATTAAGACAGGAACACTGCATCCACAATGTTCCAAAAGAAAAACAAAGATTTTCCTTGGCTCACTGTCCCTCTCTGAAGACCTGCCCGTCACTGGCAGCCAAGGCTGCGCAGAAGATCCTCTCACCTGGAAGATGAGGACCTTGAAGTTATCCCTCTTGAGCAAGTGGGCATGATTGACTTCCAGTTTCTTCACTTGGACAGCCTGCTTATCGATCTTCTCCTTCACCTCCTTCAGGTTCAGGCTCATTTTGCGCGACTTCTCCAGCAGCTTGCCGACCGAGTTGGAGGTGGAGGAGTGGCTCTTGGAGAGCTTGATCACGTCGCTCTGGATGTTGCGCACTGTGCCCTCAATCTCGACCTGCCGCTCTTCCATCTTGCGCTGGTTCTCCTGGACCGTGTCCAACATATGAACCAGTTTGTCCAGCAGAGTTAGTACGGTGATGGCACTGGCCTGCCCGCCATCCACTCCGGGGGACAGCGGCGAGATACTGTTTGCGGGGCTGGGGCTGGGAACCGGCAGGTCGTGACTCTCGTTGGGACCCACGATGCTGCTCCTCTCTGCCTGCACTGCATCCTCACCCATCCTGAAGCTTGTGCTTTGGTGATCACGCTCACTTCCGCAGATCTGGAGCGCCGGGATTTGAATCGGTGGATGAAGATCTGGCTTCTGGTGCTTCGGAGCCCGAAACGTATCGGTTGGCCGACCCAGGAAGATTTCCTCCCCGGCTCTGGACAGACAGAGCTATATCGTTCGCTCCTTTCCTGGCAGTGCAGGCAGCTACACTGAAGCACATTCCTACTGCCTAGATTAAAAAGCTCCACACCCACAGGGGAGGAGCCTCACTCCGAGGTCGCCCAGCACCGGGGAAGTTTACTCTTGGAGCGTGCGTGTGCGGGTGTTTGTGTAGTGCATGCATGCCCCGTGTGTCCATATGAGACCTGTTTGTGCATGTGAGTGGTGGGCATCTCGACATTAATGTCTGTATGTATAATCAGAAACATGCTTGTATGGATATGTGTGCCTACGTGCACTACAGATACGTGTCTCAACAATCAAGTCACCTGAGCCTGGAGGAAACCTGCTCTGGTGGCCAAGCCACGCCCCCCCGCCCCCGATAAAGGACTTCTCCTGAACTGTGTGTGTGTTTGCATGTGTGCTTGCATTGTGTCTCTTTCAGTGTGATTAGGAATGCGTGTCTATGTAAGTGATCCGAAGATGTCACTTTGTTCTCGTGAATCGTGAGCAACAGTCTGTGAATATGCGTACCTGCGAAAGTCTGCTTGCTTTTGTGCATTGTGCCTGCGTCTGGACCTGCGTGTCAGCCTGCATGTGAGCGCATGTATGTGCCTTCAGCTAGCAACTCTGTTCGTGTGAACAAAGATCTATGGAAAAGGATGCGTGAAAGAAGCGGTGAGTCAGCTTCAAAAGTGAACAGCGGACATATGAAAACAAGTCTCGGTGTGGGGCTAGGTGGGTTAGGGAAGGATGGGAGGGAGGGCAGAATAGCAGAGACAAGGTGTCTTGAATAGTGAGCAAGCACCCTCTACTGGACATGAGGTGCAATAATCGTAGCATGAAATCATGGCAGTTAAAAAATGAAAGCCAAGAAAGTTAAACTAATATAAATATCAAACATCCATCCATCAGTTTTCTGTACCTGCTTATCTTATCCAGGGTCGTGGGGGTCTGGGGTCTATCCCAAAGGCTACGAGCGGAAGGCATGGAACAACCCAGGATGGGGCACCAACCCATCACAACACAAACGCTAATCAGTAAGAACAAATATTCAGAATTTTTCAGCAAAACACTTAACTGCAAGACAGCTTCATTGGTGGTTATTGGCATCGAAAGGATTGTCCAGGTCTGAGAACAGCCAGTAAACAAAGCCAACTTCCTGACCTGTTGGACCAGCAGCTATGAGTAAAAAGACACCTGGTGTTTCGTGCCCAGCGGCTGTGGCGCGTTCCAGCAAAGAGTAGCATGCGATTACATGCCCAGGCATTCTGCTGTGTACACGCACAGACACCAGCAGGAACACGCTTGCATGTGCCAGCTGCAAACAGTGTGGATCACATAGTCGCAACCAGAGAAATGAGTGTCAGGTGAGGATTAACTGAAACTGATCCTGGAAAATGTCCGGCTGCATAACTTACACATTGTTTTGGTTGGAAGTGTTGGCCAATCAGTGTAGAAACACATCCCCACTGAATAGAGAGAGTGCAGAGCACAACAGGAAATGTAAGGATTATAGCTCTTCAGTGCTGTGTTGTAGAGGCTTGTGTTGTAAACATTCACTCTATTGATGTATTGCTGATGTGAGCCCCTTACATCGGCTTGGATTTATATAGCAGGATATTTATAGTTCGTGGAACACAGTCTGTTTTGTTTAACTACTAGGTGGGGAAAGTGCAAAATGTTATATGGTAATCCTGAATTGATTGGGATTTGTGTTAATGCATTATTTTCCTGGTTATTACTATCTAGTCAGGGGAGGTCTGTTCAGGCTAGTTTAGTTCTGGAATGAGAGAGGTGGTATTATATTCACACTTTGGTCAAAGATGGTGCTTTGAAACAGATTGTCTAGGGTCATTGCTGTCTTCCAGTGTAGCAGAGAGAAGCTCATTTTACTCAGTGAGCCAGAAAGAGGCTGCTTTAAGGGATCAGTCTAGGTTTGTTTATTGAACTGAATCTCCTAGATGGTGGATTATTTTTTTTATCACGTTTCTAATCGTTCAGTGGTGCAGTGATTTGCACTGGTGCCTCACATCTCTATGGCTAGGGTTCAATTCTCCACTATGACTCTGTGTGTGTGGAGTTTACGTGTTTTACCTGTGTTGTTGTGGGGTTTTGGCTGGGTACTCCAGTTTCCCCCAAATCCAAACAGATGCTGAGGTTAACTGGAGTTACCAAATAGCCCATAGATCTGAGCGTGCCCTGCCCTGAATAGGACAAGCAGGTTCAGAAGATGGATGGATTTTTCATTTTCTTGTATCTCTTCATGTGCATCTGTTGGAAGAAGTCTCAGGATCTCACATCAGAACCACTTGAGCTGAATAGACATTTGCACTCTAATATTAGGTCTGTATCACTAGACCTTCACTGCACTAGACTTTGGACTTTACACTTGAGTGGGTGTGTTGTCCAGCTTTAGAGAAGCTCTTTTTCATTTGCAGATATTATTGACTTATTGAGCAGATGTTTTGTTACCGCAGAAAACCTCGCCTAGCAATAAACTGGCAATATCACACCTATATTCATATAGTGTCGTAAATGAACGGACAGTTTCAAATACCAGATCAAATATAGAAAGAAGAATCACTGACAAGTATCATGAATGCATGTAAAATGTTGACACGATAATGAGTGCGACACGTTTGCGAAAAACAACTTCACCCTAATAGAGGAAAGTGCAGTATTATTTCCTGCTGTTTGCTGAGGACTCCTAAGGTCTAAAGGATTTATTTCACCTGAACACTTACCTGTAGGCGGAAAGATCCCATATATTGGAATTACTGAAGTGCTTCCTGATATCACCTCATGGTCTCCCTGTCTTATTTTATAGGTGGATCCAATCTGATCTGAGTCTACTGCACAGTTTGTTTAAATATGCATGATCTGTTTCAATTCAGTTCAATTCGATTCAGTTCAGTTGAGTTCAATTCCATTCAAATTTATTTGTATTGTCTGAGGGGTGTTGGTGTGGCTGGTGGGGGCCTGGGTCCGTCCTGGGCGCAGTTGGCCTCCTGGGCATGGTTGCTGGCCCCTTTCCTTGGGGTTGTGGCCCGGGGGCGGGCTGGGGGCTCTCTGGTATGGGCAGGGCTCTCTACCGGGGGCTGGTCGGCCCCCGGCCGCCTGGGGTCCTAGGGGCCCTGGCCTTGGCTCGTATGGGAGCGGCCGCCCCCTCGCAGGGTCGGCTGCCTGATGCCTCTGGTTCTCTGGGGCTTGTGCACTTTTGGCTGCGGGGGCTGCATCTAGAACCTCCCTCCTCCCTCCTGGAGTGGGGGTGCGGCTCTTCCGTACTCTTCGGGGGCTGTGGATGTCCTGGGCCTGTCTCGGCCGACCTCTGGCTCTTCTCCCACCCTCGCTATTTAGTACATTCCATGTTGAAAACACACGCACATGACACACGCACACGACACACGCACACATGCCCGCACACCTCGCCTACACAGATGAGCACGCATGTACATACACTTGCACGCACCCCTCCAAGCACACACAACAATTTTGTATGTTTGTTTAGCTGTGTTACTTTCTTCATTCTTTATTTTTGTTTGTGTCCATGAATTTATCCATTTCTGCACTTCTTGGCAGATCTTTTGCCTTTTTTCCCCCCTCTCCTTTACAGGTGCAGCAATTGGAGATTGTGTTTTTTTTTTTTTTTTGTATAGTGCATTTTCACAAAATTACATAATCTCAAAGCCCCTTTCATTATCCCCTTCTGCCCAAAGTCCCCAGAGAGGAAGCCAGAGGCAACAGTGGCAAGGGAAACCTCGCTAAAAGGAAGAAACCTTGGGAAGAACCAGACTCAAAGGGGGAGCCCATCCTCCAGGGGGCAGCAGAGGAAGCCCTAACCCTAACCAGACCCA